GCCACTGGAAAACCATACTGCTTGCCATCACCTGGATTTTCAAGTAATTCCTACCACAGATCAGCAGCATTGGCAAAAAAGATTTGAAGCCTGGGTTTGCTGCAAGGACAGAGGTGGCAGGATAAGCAGTTCTGAGAAACCAGCAGAGAAGAGCAGCAAAGCCCACCCAACCCATGAGCATCCCTTAATACTGTGCTGTCAAGCGTTCATCATGCATGGTGGGACTTGGAGAACATTATCATTTTCTGCTGGGAGAGTGGGGTGCCACTGGAGCTCACCACATTGCTGGAGTACACAGGCTAGTACAAGAGTCACTGAAGAAACAAGTGCAAGATTTCACAGGGATTTTGTGTTACCTATCTCATACTATCCAGAGGTATGACCCAATGCCTTCTCCAACATCCAGACAGGGAGCAAGATTCCCACTTCCCTATAAAGATAAGAATAAAGTCTCTGTGGAAGTTGGAGCTACAGGCAATGACTGGGAATCATTTATACCTAAAGTCACCCAAAAAAAGTTAGTATTTGGATATCTGAAAGCACTTCTACCCAAAGCAAGCTCTCACCACCTCCTCTTCTTCCATACCAGAGACTGACATTTCCTCTCAGAGGTTATTCTTGCTACCAAACACAGGCCACCGAAGAAACAGAATACAGCTGTGTACTCGGTATGAAATTACACTTTTTTCAGCCCCATATGATGCAGCTTTTTGTTAATGTACATGGCATTTGGTTTCCAGTACCACAGTTACAGCTTGCTGGGATATAAGCATGCTAGTTTAAAGAAGTATGTGCAGAATATTAATAGAAGCAATTTAAATGTAAGGAAGAATACATGATAGAAGATATTCTGACATCTACGTGGCACATGGGAATTGTAGTACTGAGCAGGGGAGAGGATATCCTGAAAACAGATCCATAATATTTTTCTACTCTATTTAGTCCATGGAAGATGTGGATGAAACCAGCTTTTTCTCATACCACAGACAGAAATCCAGCTAAAAATCTTCAACATGGAAAAAAAGAATTAAAAATTAGATTTTTCTATTGTCTAGCTGAAAAGCTTAAATAATGAATGTCCACTTTCTCTTTTAGTATAGAAGTTCTAAAATAACATGAAGACTAACTTTAAGAAAGCTGTTGTTCTTCAGAGAACCCTTCAGCTAGGACTCCATTTCTCATTTAAAGGTCCCAAAATCCAGGAGCCATAGTGCAACAAGACACTTTCCTACTCATTACAGGATTGATGCACAAGGGAGGCAACTTGCTCTCTTAGAGTTGCTGACTATATACTTCCATAGCTCACTGATCCACAGGGCAGGCACATAAATTGCATTCACTGGCGACTGCCACACACTAGTTAAGAAACAGAGAGAAGTAATCCAGGAAAATAGGGGTGACAGAGAGAATTGAAGGTTCTACCTTCGCATGAACTACATATACACTGTCTTTAGTCTTCTGCTCACAATTCCCAACATTTATTACCCGGTTAAAGACCTTGAAACCTGCCTGTTATAAATATAACCTGCATATAACAGCAATTAAAGTGATTGCACAGATACTTCTATTACAGCAGTTCTTCCATCCACAGTACAACACTGCAGGAAGGCACATGCCACATCATTGTTTACTCCAGAGACAGGCTTCAACCACTCAGATTATACAAAGAGGATGGAGGATATTCAACAAGCAAAGGGTGAAGCAAGGCTACAATGCCCTCCAAGCCTTTAAGACACCATGGTAACACATGTGACGAGAAATTCACAGCCCAGCTGAGTTATCTAGGACAGAGAGTGGCTTCCTCTAGCAAGGGAGAAACTCTGCACTGACTTCGACATGCTTACTTTCAGAGGAGTATGAGAATACACAGAACCAGGTATTTTCAAATTATTTGCAAGGAATGAGGTAACATAATCTATAGGCAAGAGTATTGTTACAGTCATGCAGGTACTGACTTATAAAGGGCATGGAGAAAAGAACCACCCGAACATTTGACCTAAAAGGATCTTCGGTTTGGTTGCAAAGACACAAAAATTTAAGATGTTTAAAAAACAATCATACAATTCACAAAGTGTATTAAGAGCAGCTAATCCACACAAACAGTAATACTGAGGGCAGCTTGCATCTTTGTTACAGTTAAATCTACAGGCATCAAAACAAATACATGCACCATTTTGTATATTGCTGCTTTTAGACACTCATTTGCCTAATTCCTTCCACACAAGAGAAAAGAATTCTCTTACTGATGGGTAATACATTTTCCCAGGTAGTATTTTTTCTTAGTTTCATACCAAGCATTGCAACTCAGTTTGATTTGGTTTATTTCTTTGCTGTCTCACCTCACAGGAACACCACATGAAGTGATGCAGAACACCATGCAGCTTCACACTTCTGAGGTGTAGACTGACCATTATCATTGCCCTTAAGATGCCAAGAGCAAAATCTCATAGCACTGTCATCTTTATCTGCACTGCTGGCATTTATTGCCTATCATTCAAAGGCATCCCAGAAGAAATAGGGAGGAGCAGTTATAACCTCCCTAATTAGAGCTAATTGCAGAACAGCATCACAGCCTTTCCCCTAAATTTAACAGGCTATCGGAGCAGCCAGGCATCACACTAAGTAGATGTTCCATGCTGGTTTGAAACTGTGGTAGTTAAATAGGAAACACAAAATGAACAAAAAAAACAAACAGCAATGCAGAAAGGCTAATATACCATGTGGTTAATCCTCCTGAGACAACAAGAAGCTGCTTCCTTGGTCTCAAGACTCAGTTATCCGATGTAATTGGTTTTACTTTAATAACGCAAAACGCACAATAATGGAGATGAATGTTTGGCTCTGTACAAGAACTGGTGTAGAAGTATGGTAAGATCCATAAGGATCAACAGAAAAAAATATTGCCAGTACTCTTACTCATATCAGTGGCTCCCTAAAGCAAGACACAACAGTGTCCTGTCACTAGTTTGAGCCTCAGGAGACCTGTAGAGTCACTGTGATAAAACCGGCAGAGAAAATGATCTAAGAAGTGACAAACTTCTACCTCACAATCTCATTTGTAGTATATTTTAAATGTGCTTCGTTACTACAAAGATGAAGCTCAGTAAAAGTAGGGCTATACTTTGGACACACCTCTCCTAAAAGCAGGGTCTTCACAGGGGCCTTTTTTCAATTCAAATGATCATATTTCAATCAGGCATCTTTACAGTCCAAACTTGCTTTAAGACTGGCTTTCATCACCTTTAAGCATTTTAGCCTTTTCTAATCATTTGTTCAAAATGCATTTTAATTCTTACAATATAGCACTTGATTTTGTCAAATATACAGCCTACTTAGCTATTGTCTGGAAAGTAACTCCCCCCCCTTCCTTTTTAATAATCAATATTGGTAATCTTGAAGGGAAGGAGGAATCCACTAGTAACACCAAAGCTGGAATATTTTATCCCTAATTCCATAGCCTTGACTGCCTCACCCACTAGCCAGCTTTTTGTCAGACATACAGATACCACCAGGAGCCAACAGATTTAATTCATCAACAAATGACACTTAGAACAAGACATGAAAACTCAGAATCCACATTCTAAACAGTGACTGAGTGAGGAGGGATAGGATGAACCATGGAGGCAAATCTCTCACTTTCTGCTCTCCATCTGCTCTTGCTCTTTTTTATATATTGAAATGCATGTTAACTGTGTACATATGCACATACATATGGAGAGAAAGAGCATACACATTGCCCTCTGCTGACCAGAGTCCAATACACAAGTGTGCTCTAGCACACACACTGCTCAAACATGATCTCCAAAGAAAGCTTGACAGGACTGTATCTGTGTGTATTGATTTGCTGCTAAGTAAGAGACACCTCCAATTTGGCATCACCAAGGCTTTTTCAGAACCCAGTTTTAATGCCTGGGGTTTCTCTGCTTTCATTCCTCCTACTTGATTACACACATAGCAGGACAGTGGAAAACAAAACAACAAAAAAAAAAAATCAAACCAACCACACACCAGTTGCTTATGGGTTAGCCTATGTCTACCTACATACCAGCACTCAAAGCTCTTGCCATTTTATATGTTTGTCAGTGATTATTTTTTCCCTCCCCGTTAGGCATTTTAATGAAATACCAGGAAGCTGGGAGTGGGCAGAAGAGGGAGAAGTCAAGCAGGAAAACATAGCTGAGAGGCACTAACTGCTACTTTCAGGCTACCCTGTTTGCAACTCCTTCCCTCTGCTCTTTTCATGAGTACTGTCATTTTACCCTTCAACATGACTACTAACTAGAAACATAAAATACTGAAGGAAATCAAAACACACTTCAATTCTTAAGGTCCTCTCCTTCATCCCTACACTAGAACTTTTTTGGTTTAAATGTTCACTTCCTTGACTTGGGGACGTGTGGTGGTTTAGGCCTTGCCAGGACCCGAGACCACACTGCCATTGTCCCTCCCCCACCCTCGGACTGGACAGGGCAGGGAGTGAGGCACAAACTCTGGGGTTGAGATAAGGAAAAATCTAATACAACAGTGTAACAAATAGTAAACTGAACAACAACAGCAATAACAATAAACAGGAATAACAATGAACAGGACAAGAGATATACAGAGATATACCACAAGGATAGAGCAGCAAAGGGGGCGCTTGGACCTGACTGGTATTGAATAAGGAGGCTAGAGCTCCCTCCCCACTGCTGGGGAAACTTAACCCTATCCTAGCTGAATCAGAACAGGATGGTAAGAAACCACTTCAGACCAAAGTTTGGCACACACTTTAGATTGGAAAAAAACACAGAATACTTTTTAATTTAGGAAGCAGCTTAGTAAGTTCAACTGTAAGCTTCTTACAGAGAATCTACATATTATATTAAGTCTGCAGACCATCTTTCTGACAGTGACTGGCCATAAGGTACTATTCATAAGTACCTACAGATGGACATACAAGTAGACTGGGGTTCTTGAAGTGGTGGGAGAAGAAAGATTTCTGGTATTGATTCTATACTCACCCAATGCCCAGTATGATGCAGCTTCCAAAGGTGGAGCACTGCTGTAGAGAGCGTGGATATACATGAGGTGAATCATCAGCTCAGCCAGACACCACCAAAAGAAAATACGAATTATGCCCACAATTAAGATGCTGAGATTGGTCTTCAAACTGAAGGCTTCTTGTCGTCTCATCTAAAAAAGAAATCCAGAGAGGTTATATGGCACATAACTGACTGTTTTGCTCAAATACTTACTCATGCCAAGAACTTTTTTTTTTTTTTTTTATCATAACTATTACTAAGGGGACCATTTGACAATACCATCTGGAAATTCCTGACATACTCTTGAGGGAGACTGGTGTCTCCATTCTCAATCTCAGTAAGCACCATAAATCAAAGAGAGACCAAACGTGAACATACACTGCACCAAACTGTTGTAGAAAAGGCCAAGGGCTGTTAAACCGAACAGAATTTAGACAGACTTTTTTTTAATTCCTGTAACTTGATCAACCTTTATAGAGATAATCAAAAAAGTTTAAAGAAACTGCAACTATGAAGGAAGTTTTCCAAGCAGCAGCCCTACCAAACACAGAAACAATGACTGCTTGCTCTTAAAATACTTCCAACTTCTACCAGCTGCATAGGACTGATTATTTGAGGGCAGTTCTTCATTTTCTTCCTGCAGTATTGCCATAGTCAACAAGACCTAAATGGGGTGCTGAGCAAATGGCAGTTCAGTGGAAGTTAAATACCAGATAAGGTTTGCCGTTTACAGGCTATTCAAGATGCCCCAAATTCTTACACTGCTAACTATAGTAAACACACCTGTATACTATCTTCTTTCTGCAGTAGAAGAAAATGTAATAAAACAACAGAAACATAAGATTGCCTAAAAATTTAGTCGTGTTTTGTACATTATCATTGTGTGTGTGCATTTCCTTCTCCAGTCTCTAACTTGCCACCAAAAATGAATGTAGAAGACAAGCAACCAACCCATCTGCACAGACAAAACCCCCTCAATTGCAAGTACACAGTATAGCAAATACAGTTAGCTCTGCTCACTTACAAACGAAGCAGGACACTAATTTTCAAGGTTCATTTATACCAGCTAGATGAAAACTTGGAGACTACTATTTAATTGCAGGGATTTGCACAACAGGCCTTCAAACCCATGACCAGAACTGCTATGCCCTGCTTCAACCCAGAAATTCAACAAGGCCATTGATGAAGCATCAGTCTCATTTTTGCCTGGCAATGGATGCCAGTTGCCAGCATTGGTATTAACACCCTTCGGGACATACAGCAGTTTCTCTGCCTCCACTTTCCAGCATGCTCAGCAGGAGCCCTTGTTTCAGTCTCAGCTTCAGTTAAGGGGTTCTGCAGGTGGTCTTTTCTGACAGCAGCAATAAACACACTTTGCATTTTGCACTTTCAATCAACCGCTGGGCACTTCAAACTTTGAAACCCTTCTCCAACCTCAGCTGTCCAGGCAATATCCTCTGCTCAGGTAATGGCTCTGACATTGCACTCCAGCAATCACCAACAAGAAACACATTAAGGTTGATCAGTTTGTTCCTTCTTCTTCATGGCTTTAACCAAACAGGTCTGTTCATATTTAAATGAAACCTATTGCAAATACACGCATACCGTTCTCAGTCTTCCTTTCTCTCCTCACAGCAAGAATACAGGTGGTCTCTGCACAAGTCTTTGCAGAGCCATACCAGATGAGCTTAGTTTCAATGCAAGACCACCCTCAGTTTTTCCTACAGCTTCCCCAAGCTGCTCTCAACTTGAAGTCTTATAACCTTCTGAAACATTCTTTAAAAAACAAACAACTTCTCCCTCTGCTAGGGGTTCAAGAATATAGATGGGATTTAACACACTTCAGAAGCTACAAAAACAGTAAAAAAATAAATTACCTCAGTTTCTATGCAATTCTATGCAGACTTTTCCTACAACATCCAGCCCAGGATAACAACATTCAGCCTTGCATCTTCCAGAGCTACTGAAGACAAATGAGCATAGGACTTGTCACTCAGGAGTCCACCAGAATCTGTTTCCACCTGCATAAAGCTCAGCCTAATTGCTGTGGCTTCAACAGAAAATTTCCAAATATGAACAGAAGGAAGCACCTAGGCTTCTATACATAAATTGAAACAGCAGTTTTATGGTTTGAAATGTCCACTCTTCCCAATGATGTTAGTTATAGACATCATGGGTGGTGATTTTACTTCTCACTCAAGTGTGCAAGAAAATAAGTAATAATGCATGGAAATGTGAGTTTTCTCCTGTCATGTAGAAGCAGGCTTGAAAAGCAGCCTGCAAGGCACTAGGAAAAACATTCAGTAAGAAAGGCAGGTCTTTCACATTGAAGGAGCTGCTCAGCTTGCTAAAGTCTGAAGTGTTCCAAGTAAATCAGCTGTTTTCACGCCAACATGAGGAGAAATTGGAGTCTTCAAGAATTCCAATACAAACCTGCAGCTTTCTGTGACTCCAAAACCTGTTCTGGAGTTAACAGCCAGCTGCTGCTGAAAACGTTACTTTATTCCACCTGATGGAAGAGAGGAAGACAAAAATCCAGTCCAGCATCTACACACTAAAATTATGAACACTCTCCAAACGTAATGACACATGTCACTTGCTCCCAGGTTGAAGGGATGAATCTGATGTCAGACAACAAAGATTGTATAAAGTAGAACTTGAGGGGGAAGGTTTGTTTTGACACTGATATCCAGGGCATCGTCAAATTCCCAATGCTACACTCAAAATTGTCCAGTCTTCACATTCCTATAACATTACTTGATATTTTCAAAGTTATGTGGAAGATAGCTTAAAACACCCAAACAATTCTTAATCTCCAAGGAGATTAAGTAAAAAACTGAAATCCTTCAAGTCACTAGTAAGGAGGAAAAATACTAGTTATAGATAGATGCTTTTACTGAAGTCAAAACATGCATAAATAAAAACTCCCTTCCTGCATGGTTTTGTTTTGCCTTTTTCCCCAAAGTACCTTGTTAAGGGAAAAAATATTTATTTCAGATACAAATAGAGATCAGAGTCTGACAGAGAAGATTAATCATCCAGCCTTCAAAAATGATTTTGCTTTCTTTCCACCTTCTCTAACACTGGAGTCTAATCAATCTCTCTCCACTCAAGCGCTAGATATAAAGACTTATTTTGACAATACATTTCCAACATTAGCTACCAGCCTTATGCAAGTTCAGTATTACACCATGGCTGGCATACAAGTATGAGTACCCAAGACTGGTTTCTAACTACAGCCTTCCCTTTTGCATGCAGCATACTTCAACACTTAGACAGAAAAAGACGATTTATACAGACAAGTATTATGAACACCCTCTGTTTGACAGTCTCATCAGTATTAATTTTTCTCAAGTAGTTAAAGCAGGAAATAAATAGAAACTTTAGCTTACCTGTAAACTACATTATGAAACATACCATTAAAAGAGCACCTCAAGAAAAACTGGATGAATTTGTCTAACATTCTCATGATTGGTATTAAAACCTCTCAAGATGAGCAAAAAAACCCCAAACCCATCATGCTTTAGTTTTAAATTTTACTCCTCAGAGTACAGGGTCTGTGCCTGGATTTGGCAGCTGAAAAGAGATCACCACCTACTTCAATAGTTCTTCAACCAATTCACCTGAGGCACAGATGCACTGACAAATCTGTAACTGCGCTGATCTTAAAAACCACTGTTACCTGCTTACTGAATTCATCAAAATTCATAAGGGGTCCATTGTGGAACATGGGATAATAAAACACGTATGCCAGCATCCACAGGAACGAGTGGGTTGACTTCTGGGCAGGTCCATGCCAGCAGTACTCCAGGCTGAAGCTTGTGCAGAAGAGGCAGCGGACAGACACAGTGAAGAGCAGCAGATAATACTCATTTTCTGTGTCATACCACTTTCTCTGCAAGATAAAACAAAGCCAGACAATGATGGCGCAATACTGTGTTTTCTACATGGCTGGACAACGATGTCCACCCAGATTCTAACTTTCAGAGTCACCAGCAGCAGGAAACAACTAAATCAAACAGCAGCTGGAACAAGCATCTGAAGTGAACAGCACTACTTTACACATGAACAACAAGCACTGGCTGTTAATGGAGAAAGGGCCTCTAGAGCTATTGCAACCAGCATAAAGAGACAACAGTTTGATTTCAGAAATGTATCAGTTTGTGAAGAACTGACAGCAGGAGAGCTTTTCTTACAAGAATGCCATTATCTCCCTCAGATTTGGGCCAGTAATACAATATCCAAGCCAGCTGAGAACACCACTGACAGCCAAGGGACTGCTGCGGCTGAAGCCAAGGCTGTGGTTCAGATCTGAAGAGAATTAGTCACTCTTGAGAAAACCTGAGACTGGCAAAATATTACTGAGCATTATCGTTTCACACTCAGTCACACCTGTTTCCAGAAACAAAAAACAATCACAAAAAACTTGGGAACAATCAGCCAAACTGTTTGGCTGATTACAGTTGTATTGCAGCAAGCCCTTTCCTCCTCTCATCAAGAGACAAACCTGTCTACAAGAGATCCTACCTGCTCATCTCCCCTCTGGCCTCCTGCTGAACATCAGGGTAACAAACCTTATAACATGCTCAGTTTTTCCCCTTAATCTATGTGAATGCAACAAGGACATTTCCTCACAACTGAGCAGCAGCTTCTCCAAAATCTGTATGGCCCAGCAAAAGCCATTAGAGAAAGAGCAAAACTGAGCTTGTACCAACCAGCTGTGAGCAAGCAACTCATTTGGTACAAATCGAAGTGGTAGAGAAACACTTCCATGTAGAAGTCCGCAGTCACCAATACGGTACAGTCAGGCTTGACTAAGCAACTCCTGGCTGTGAATCCAAACACCAAGCTCCAAAGAACAAGAAATGTGTTTACTAGAGCACTAGTAAAGATTATCATACTCCAGCTCTACTGAACACCACTTACACATTAAGGCACATACTTTCATCTCAATGTACCAGCCAGCATGGTTGAGAAATAAAACTTTTCTAACTGGAGAAGCTCCAGCATGAGTCACTGTAGCTCTACTCCCTAAGGTTTTTCAAGTCAACCTCTGCTTACATCAACTGAAAGGATAGTACTCTATCACAAAGATACCTGCCATAACGGACAATCACCACCATAATTAATTTGATGTTTAATTAGTCCTTCTCACATTACCTTGGCTTCTTCCACAGCTGGTATGCGCAAAGTGGACAGCAGGATAAGGGAGCACAACCACGTCAGGAGCGACAGCTGAAACTGAGCCACAGCAAACGAAATAGTTGCATGTACCAAAATGACAGCAAAGCCCTTGATTCCCAGTAACAACCAGCAAGCAGCCATTCCATAAACCATCAAGCACCATGGTTTATACTGTTAGAAAAAGAAAAATTAACAATTTTTAGTTTGATTATTTCCAAAGGAAAAAAACACCCAATATCTGTGCTGTCCTACACAAGGTCTAGAGAAAAAACATGCAGTAGAAACATGACAGTCATTTCCCACACTCAGACAACCATTTAGCAACAATGCCAAAACCCAAACAGTCATCACCTTACAGTCTTGGAAAGGAATAACTACACCTTCCTTTAGTGTACAAGTCAAATGACACTGGTTAATGGTTCACAACAAAGCACAGGCTTTCACAGGTTGGAAGCTGAAGTCTCCAAACACTATGACAACCAACCTCCTCGGTCTCACCTGTGCATTGCATTGCTACAGACCCACTCACACCATTCACCCAACAGAATGGGATTTCCCACACTCAGTAGCCTCAGTGCATAGTTTCCCATGGCCAGAGTAGACTGAAACCCACAGAAACTCTCTGCTGTGAAGAAAATCCATACATACCTTCTCCACCAAGAGCCTGGACACTTGCGACACCAGCAGGTGACCAGCCAGAAGCCACAGTATGCGCTCCCTTCCCCATTCAATCCAGTAGCTCCACTCAAAGTCTGTGGGGTCCTGGGGAATCAAGGGAACCAATCACTATGTGTATCTGGCCATAAAAGCACGTTCTTACAGGACAAGGAAACATCTCTAACACACGAGGTCCATTACCCCACAGCACAGAACTCTGTATCTGAGGAATATCATTTCAGCAATCCAGCTGGGTCACTTACAGCAGTGAGCTCAGACAGTACCATTCTGACTTCCAGTGGTGTGAAATTCAGAAAGAGAACTTTAGATGGTGCTGAACCTGACCAAGCAGCAAACATTTCTTTTCCCCATAAACACTGGAGAGTTTTACAACCAGAAAGTGGGCAGGGAGGCACACACACACCCTTCCCTCTCTTCCCTGGGACACGGAGAACAGGCAGGTGAGTACAGAGGTGTAGCTTGGAACAAGGGTCCCACTCCTCAGGGCCAACACACCCTTGCTTTGGTTCCCTGTCAGGAAGCTTATCAGTAAACAACAAATTAGTCTGCTACTACCGTTGCTGACTATCTCTTCAAACCCAACAAAATTCACACCTATGCTTGCCCTGATCCTTTTCATTTTAGGAATTTTTTTCCATTTAGAAAGAAAAAAAAAAATCCGTTCTGGACTACACTTAATTTATGCAAAATTTAGCCAGGAATTTTTCTCAGTCTTTTAAGAAAGAGCTTTTCAGAAAGGCAACAGAGAAGCTGAGCACTGCCTTCCTTGTGTGTGCCCCTCACCTCTCCTGAGGGATTCAGAGAGCAACTCTGCTCTGCCTTGGAAAACCAAAAGCTTGGGTGAAAAGGCACCTTACTGGAAGAGAAGTTACACTCCCTGTTTCAAGGAAGCCTAGGTGGGATCAGATGAATTCAGGTCAGTTGGAGACCCCTGTGACATGGGGCTTTTATCTAAGCTAGGTAAAAAGGATCAGATGGTAGCCCTGTGGCCCATACAGAATCCCACTAAAAGTTCATCTCCACGACTGCTTTATGGCTTTCTTGAAAGCACATCAAGGGTCCCTTACCAGCAGTGATGGTGGGCCTAAACACCAGAATAGTTCCACAGAAGTGTGTTCCTGCTCTTGCATAAATTATCCTTAATATTAGTTGCATTAACTGCACTTCTTCAAAAGGATGTGAGGTCAAAAACAAGCAAGGGTGGGGGAGTTGGTTTTTTGGTTTGGGGTAGAGGGGTACTGGTTTTCTTATTAGTTTTAAGACCAACCAAGTTTCTTTAAGTCCTTACACCTCAAAAATGTGCTCTCCTCTATGCTGGACTACAAGCCAACCAAGAGGAAAACACATGTTCACTAATGTTAAACATTTTTCAAACCACTCAGTGACAAGAAAAAGGAGGAAGAGGCTGCAGAAAACAAATTCGATTATAGCTTTTAAAGCCAAGCAGTAAAACAGAAGGTTATTAAATGATGTAACAAAGGAGAAACACTTAGGACAGAGATCAAGAAAAGACACAAAACTTTGGTTATGATTCTTAGATCTAGACACACCCAGCAAGTCCCTCTTCTTCATTAGAAACAGACCGAAATTAACTATGAATATCCAAATTTGAAAAGTTACTACAAACTTCTGAAGCTAACTCGGAAGCTTGGGAGAGCAAAGAACATGGAGACATGATGTTCACATTATTGCCAGAAAATAAAAGATGCTGGTACTGGTCACCCATCCTACCTTTTTGAGACCCCGAAAGAGAGTCCCTGGTTCCAGTCCAAATCTTCTGTCCATCACAGCTTCATATTCTGCAGAGAAGAGAAGAGAAAACCTTTGCTAAGGACACAGCAGCCTGAGCAGGGAGAGGCAGGGACATGGCCCCTGCTGCTCAAGAGCAACAGGGTCCCACATTGCCTCCACTGATGGGGACACTTGGAGCCAGGGAAGGGCAAGTCACCACTCACCAGACGAGCTTCCCAACCAGGCCACAGCTCTGCCCCGCAGCAAAGGCAAAGCCGCTGAATTGCCCAGAGCTTACGCTTTGATACCCCCTTGCAGCAGGGGCAGTAGCAGACAGCAACCAACTTTTTACTACACAGGACGACCACTAATCCTCATTTCCTCTCTGAGGACTGCCTGGTTTCTCCCACCAGAAGGACACACAGCACTGACAGTGACCAGTATGGCCAGAATGGGGCAAAGCTGCTCAGAGAAGCTGCCTCCAGAGCCTGTTCCCCTGCAGGCTTTTGCCATCTCTGCAGAAGACGTGCTGCACATGTGGGTGCGCAGCCTTGAACCCATTTACCCAGCACTTCCTTCACTGCCCTGCAGATTCCTTTCTGACACTCCTGTCCTTCCCTTAAGCACTTCTGAGGGCCAGCTAGGGTCATTAATGTAGAACACCTTGCTGATTAAAGCCTAATAAGTTGCAATAAACATTTCCCTAACCAGCTATAGTTTCATTAGATAATACCACCTTCATTTCCCTTAAAATACCCACATGCCAGAAGACGGCTTCTCTTCATCTACAAATTGCATTTAAATTGTTTAAAACCCCACCCCTCCTTTGCACTACACAGCCCCACTGAACCAGAACCAAGCCACTGCAGCAGCTACCCAGAGGTTACACACAAGGCACAGGTGGGTATCTGGAGAGAAACTGACTCCAAAGCTGCAGAGACAAGCCAGCCATTCCTCCAAGCCCACAACCCGGCACAGGAGCCCCACAGCTCCAGGCAGGGAAGCACCCACCTGCCCTGGGGCCTCCCCAGGTTCAACCCCCAGCAAGCACCATCAGGAGGCACAGGTGGTTCTGAACCACCCACCTCCAATGGGCTGCAGGTGAAAAAATCCAAGACTAGCCAGGAATTCAGCGCCAACATTCCCACACTTCCCCCATCTGAGTA